AAACAAGGCTTGTATGTATAGAGAGCTATGCATATTTGAGAGATAATACATAATATTATATCTAAGCATTATACATATATAGATATATAAATATGTCAAAATTGATTATTCAAAGATATGGTCCAGAAGACCTTATGCGGAAATTAAAACAGAAATTTTATTTTGGAAGATGTTAACGAGCAATTTATTCTAAGATTTCCATTGTTTTAAAATTACGTCTGTAATAATAAAGGACAATTTTTAAAAAGATAAAAATCCTAAATCAGAAGAGGAAAGAGTGCCAACAACAATGAACTAGAGACTTCTATGCAGGATATAAATAGTTATGAGATATTTTTATGTGTTCATGTTTTATTTTGCTTTTAAACAGAGTAAATGAAATCATCAGAAGGCACAAGAAAACTCCCAGGGTTTTATTATTAGAAGCTTAGATGGAGATGAAGCAATGGGATTGTTGGTAGGAACAAGCTGAGCTGTTCAGAAAATGGTGACAGGGCTACCTCCATGAAGCCCTGGGCACAAAACTCATCTCTAACCAAGTCTTGGCATGAAATGCAGCCTGAGTAAAATGTAGGCATTGTAGTGGGTTTTGTAAAAGGGCAATTGTATCTTTTAGAAAAGAGGAACTATGCACCAACTATCTTTGAGCTAGTACCAAAACACAGACACAAACAAAACAAAACCTTGAGCAATGGTGTGTTCTTCCCTACTATGCTTGTCCTGCCTGGCAGTTCACTCCAATAGAATTCTAACTTGGCATTGATCCTTGTTAAGCTCCCAATCTGGCAAAAGCTGAGGATGCTGTCAAGCTAGCAAGTGTGGTGGTTACAGGGGAGCAGGTGCCCCTAAGCATGACTCGGAATCTACAGTTTGCAGAGTTCCTACCTAGAGCAACCTGACCACGTACAGGCCTCCTGCCTGGTTTACAGCTGCCCACATAGTTAACTTGGTCTTCACATATTATGGCAAACTGGATCAGCAAGATGAAAAAAAAAAAATCGGACTAAACACAAATTTCTTCCTTTTCCCTTTTTCTATAATGCAAGTATTTGAAGAAGGATCTGCAATATATCTTGACAGAACACATTTAAACTTCCAAAAAGAATGTATTAAAAGAAAGAATACAGTAATATAATTAGGCATATTATATGATTACATGGCTAGAAACAGATAATTATCTAAGAATTTTGAAAAAATATTGTAATATACAAAAGGCATTCTGTCTCCTTACAGTATATGGCACATAGTGCCGACAATATTTGAAAACAAATGTCGTTAGTATGAAGACAACAAATTGAGTTTGGAGAACATGCTTTCAAGTGACAAACAAAAGTACCATATAAAAATAAAATACTATCAAGGAGGCAATAACTATAAGATTAAACAGTAGAGAAATCGAGGTCAATATATTTTCTTAAATTTAGAAGATCAGTGACAAGAGAAGCAAGCTAGAGAATGGAAGTAGCTAGAGAATTCATGTATAACAGCATCCTCTGATATACGTGAATTAGGAAATATAGAAGAATTGAAGATAAAAATGAGAATAATCATAAGTTAAATAATAGAAGAAACTTTCTTCCACATAAAAGAGGGTATGCATCTTCATAACCAAATGATTCATTATCAATCAAAGGGACTGTAAAAATATTTGTTCATGTATTAGTGTATGTGTGTGTGTGTGTGTGTGTGTGAAATTTTATGTTGTCTGATAGCAAAATTCGAAATACTACCAAACTGCTCTTCAAAACAGATTGCTTTGATTTATACTCAAAATTCAGTTCTAACAGTCTTAGAACATGCTGTATATTTTTTCAAATTAAAAAAATCAAAATTAAATTATACAAAATAATAAAAATGTAGATATTAAGAGTTTCCCTAAAAGCTGGTAAAGTTTGAGATGAATAAGGTGGAAAATATCAACTGCATGTATTTCCTAGTAAAAGCAATTCTGTAATTAAATACTTGACAGGGCTGATGTGATGACACTTTAGTAAAACTGATATCAAAGTGACTGTGGCCAAATATTCTACTTCATCTGAAGATGGGTGCTGTCTTGTGATTTATTGGTCACAGATCAAAGGCAGAAATAATTCTCCCTGCTACAATGCATACTTAATTTCTAAAACTGTGAATTCTAGCCTTTAACTCTAGTATATTCTCTGAACTCAATAATGTCTAATAAAGTAGGCAAATGGCCTACTAAAAGCCTGTCATAGAAATGTACGAATATGTCTGATGGATAGATTGCAAAAATTTTTTCCCATTCTGTTGGTTGCTGGTTCACTCTCATGATTGTTTCTTTTGCTATACTGAAGCTCCAGAGTTTAATTAGATCACATTTGTTTACTTTGGCTTTTGTTGCCAATGTTTTTGGTGTTTTAGTCATGAAGTCCTTGCCTATGCCTACGTCCTGAATGGTTTTGCCTAGGTTTTCTTCTAGGGTTTTTATGGTGTTAGGTCTTATGTTTAAGTCTTTAGTCCAGAATCTACAAAGAACTAAAACAGATTTACAAGAAAAAAAAAAATTCAAAAGTGGGCAATGGATATGAACAGACACTTTTCAAAAGAAGACATATATTAAGCCAAAAAACATATGAAAAATGCTCATCATCACTGGTCATTAGAGAAATGCAAATCAAAACCACATTGAGATATGCTCTCACGCCAGTTAGAATGGCAATCATTAAAAAATCTGGAGACAACAGATGCTGGAGAGATTGTGGAGAAATAGGAACACTTTTATACTGTTGGTGAGAGTGTAAATTAGTTCAACCATTGTGGAAGACAGTGTGGCAATTCCTCAAAGCCTTAGAAATAGAAATTCCATTTGACCCAGCAATCCCATTACTGGGTATATACCCAAAGGATTATAAATAGTTCTATGATAAAGACACATGCCTGTGTATGTTCATTGTGGCACTGTTTACAATAGCAAAGACTTGGAACCAACCCAAATGCTCATTGATGATAGACTGGACAAAGATAATGTGGCACATATACACCATGGAATACTATGCAGCCATAAAAAATAATGAGTACATGTCCTTTGTAGGGACATGGATGAATCTGGAAACCATTGTTCTCAGCAAACTGACACAAGAACAGAAAATCAAACACCTCATGTTCTCACTCATAGGTGGGTGTTGAACAATGAGAACACATGGACACAGAGAGGGGAGCAACACATGCTGGGGTCTGTTGGCAGGAAATAGAGGAGGGACAGCAGGGTGTAGGGAGGTTGGGGAGGGAAAACAGATATAGGTGACGGGGACATGGAGGCAGCAAACCACATTGCCATTTATGTTCCTGCATGATCTGCCCATGTACCCTAGAACTTAAAGTGCAATAAAATATATATTTAAATAAAAAAGAAATATAGGAATGTGTCCTTACCCAATTGTGAAACATTTTGGCTAAATGTAGATCTGAAATTGTATCTAGGGTCACAGTTCCATCTAGAAAATAACTGAGTTTTTGAAAACAGTTATGACTATTGCAGCCATGCCATGTGGCCATCTTTAGTAGTGTTAACTAAGATTACTGATGAATTTCTAAGTTCTTTATTTTTTTCAACAAATTAGTTTATTCAGTAAAGAATTTTACACAAAACTAATTTCATCAAAGTTTGCCTAACATACCCAAGGTTAGGTAATTATTGATAATTATAACCACAAGATTGTAATCTTTTAAACTATCAAAACCACAATAAATAATATAAAAGCTATTTTACATTAAAAATTGATTATAAATTTTTCTTTCATTTGACATTTCTTATTTTTGACCTTTGATTAAATATCTTCAAAGGCACTGTGTTCTTCTTGGTTTATAGCAGCTTAAGACTTTTGCATATATGTTTTTGCTCTAGTGCAGAGAATGCAGCCAAATGATTTTTAAAAGACCATGGCATGAGCCAGGTGCAGTCGCTCGCACCTGTAATTCCAGCAATTTGGGAGATGGAGGCAGGCAGATTCCTTAAGCCCAGGAGCTCAAGATCAGTTTGGGCAACATGGTAAAACTCTTGTCTCTACAAAAAATAAAAGTGAAAAATTAGCTGGGAGTGGTAGCGCTTGCCTGTAGTCCCAGCTACCCAGTAAGTGGAGATGAGAGGATCACTTGAGCACAGGAGATCTAGGAAGCCGCAGTGAGTTATGATCGCAGCCACTGCACTCCAGCCTATATGGTAAACTGTGACCTTGTTTATCAAAAAGGAAAAAAGAAAAGAAAAGACAATGTCCTGGCATGCTCTATAAAATTTATAGCATTTCTGTTGCTACAATTATGCAAAAGTTTATTTAAAAAAGTGATGGACCAATTATTGCAAAAGGAAATACATTGAAACTTATAGAATATAAAGGATGGGATAATCAATTTTTGTGAATAATTTCAAAAGACATACACATAAACTTATCTGTTGTGTTGTAATATAGAGACAGAGCCACATTTACCTAAATATAGAAAGACAAACTCAAATCCATGCACTAACACTAATGCAGTTTGGAGTTCGAGCACTGAGGAAGCATGTTCTAAAGGTAATAGAGGCACAGAACAAAAACCCAAAAGCTTATTACTTCTCCCAACTATAGTTTTTTCATAAATGCAGACATTATATCTATACACAGAAGCACTGTCCTACAGTATTTTACAAAATAAATAACATCTAATAATAAAATAGTCTAATTGTCCCATTCTCCTATGTTAATGAAAGAACAGTAGTATTAATTTAGCACACAAACTTACCCCATTTATATGCATCTTATATTTTACCAGACATCATTATTTATAGTTTATTTAATTAAATCTTTACAATAAAGTTGAAGTAAGGAGAAAAACTATTAGAAATATTTCATAATGGATAGAACTATTGTAATTTTTAAAATGTTATCCAATGTTTAAGTGTGAGAAATAATGTTATATGCATAAATTGTAAATATTCATTCTAAACAATTTGACATGTTATTATTGTTTTTATTTTGTCTATTTGGAAACGAAGAAATTGAAGTCAATATGATATCACACATTGCATTTGATGGAGCCAGAAATGAAATCTAGATCTGCTGTATTTCCACTGCCCTTGGCCATTGTGCATTAAGCTGTTTTACATATTAAGTGCCATAGAGTTGATATCTGCTTTTGGGAAAGAATACTTCAAAATAAAACCAAAACACTTAAATCTGGAAAGATAATAATTTAAAGGAAGTCATGCTTTATCAATGTTAAGAGGTAGGTGGGCAAAATTTTGCTATACTCTCATACTCATGAATATGTATACAACTATATATGTAAAGTATAAGCAGTGGAGCTCTGGCACCCTCTCCTGACCCCATGGAAAGTGAGTGCTTCTGCTGTTTCTTATCCCTCTCTCTCTATCTTGTTTTCACCTAGTCTTTCTCTAGTTCTTGCCTGATCAGGTAGCCATTGATAAAAATAGAGACTTCCTGTGAGCTTTAAAATTTTTGAATTTGCCTCTATGTTGGATATTTTGAATATTTAAATTTCTTAAAACTCCATCCCAATGGAATAAACCCTTAATAGTGAGATATGAGTTAGTATGATATGTGAGGGGGACATTTAGATGTTTGGGGGTGCACTCCCTTTCAAATTATACCTATCGATCTTGACTTCCTTAAAAGGTGACATTATGAACACATAATAAATAATTAAATTAAATCCCAGAGACTTTGAGGAAAAGGGTTATGGTGAAAAATATTTGTACAAAGTTATATTAGTCATTATTTACCAAAGTTCAAGTTGTCATCCCTATGACAAAAGATAGGGCAATTTCTCCTTATTCTATGGTGAAGTTGCAGATACTGAGAATAATACAATAAAAGCACTATTTCATTAATGTCATCTATCAGTATAGGCAGAACTGCACATTATTTTCTTTCAATTCTGCTTTAAAAAAGGAAACTAGGTGTACATACTTTGTTTTTTAATACAATAGCTGTATACAGTGAATTTTACTTCAAATGTAACTAATAGTTTATAAACATGAATATCCAAAAATATCCTATAAAATACTTATACACAATACCTATATTTATTATATTTAATGCATATATCCAGGTATGTTTAATCTAAATCCCACGTGAAAACTCTTTAAGGCACTCTTTAAGTTGTAGAAAGTTAACCATAGGTGTGAAGTGCTATAGTTTCTAAGTGGTCCTTTCATATTATTCAGAGGAATATATAAGCAATCACATCTTCCAGTTTATTTTATGTGCCAGTAAATGTATATTGTAGATTTAGTGGTAGCTCTAATTATTTATTAGAATATGAATAAATTTAGAATATTTTAAATATTTATCCAAATGGTTATGCAGACTGTTTTGAAGAGGTTACAAATATCATAGACAAGTAATTAGATACTCCAGAGAGCTACAAAGGAGAGACTTTCCCAGCTGCTTCATAGCCTCAATTTAAACTGTTCCAGGTCCTTATATTGAGATGTAAGGCTGGATTTCTTTGATTTTCTGCAAGAGTAGTGAAAGGGGTTGTTTCACTTATGGCCATTTAGGGTACAGGCCAGTGCCAGCATCTGTGAAAAGGAAAATCTAGCTCAGTGTTTGTAAAGCAACTCTAAAGCAGATAATTTATAGAGTTTTAACACTAGAAATGCTGTATCATTTGGCTTTGATACAGAGCAGGACTGAAGACCAGTGCTAACTTTTGCAGTACAAAATGTCATTTCCTGTACCCCAGTCTATTATTTTCATCATTAAAATAGATTGTGAGGGTATTTTTTTCCAGAAAACATATAGCTTGATTAATTTCCAATCTTATAATTTAGGAGATTTAAAATCCTAATACAACTAGACAAAAGAGCATGGAGCAAAATAAGCTGTCATTTATTATTGGTGGAAAACTAAAATGGTACAGCCACTTTGGAAGACAATTTGCAGTTTCTTACAAACCTAAACCTCATCTTAAGATAAGATTTAGTCATCATACTCCTTGATTTGGTATGAAGATTTACTTAAAATATATGGTCACACAAAAACTTGCACATGAATGGTTATAGCATTTTTTTCTTAAATGCCACAATTTGGAAGCAACCAAGATATAATCTAGTAGGTGAATGGATAAATGGAGTGGTAATCTATGCAATGGAATATTATTCAGTCATAAAAAGAAATGAGGTATCAAGTCACAAAAGGACATGTAGAATACTCATGTAAATATTGCCAGGTATTAAATAAAAGTAGCTAATCTGAAAAGCCCACATACTAGACTGATTCCAACTATGTCATTCTGGAAAACAAAATAAAAATAAGATCTGTGGTTTTCAGTGGTTAGTGGGAAGGGAGGGAGGGATAAATAAGTGGGTATGGTACTATAATGGTGGTTACCTGCCATTATGGTTTTGTCAAATCCCATAGCTTATACAATACAAAGAGTGAAGCCTAATGGAAACTATGGAATTTAGTTAATAATAGTGTATCAATATTTTCTCATCAATTGTAAGAAATATACCATAGTATTTCAAGACATTGATAATAAGGGAAACTGGAAGGAGTGTTGGGTTAAAGGAGTACATAGCAGCTTACTGTAGTTTCCATTCATTTTTTCCTACAAACCTGAAACAGCTCTAAGCCATAAGGTCTATTAATGTTTTAAAAAGCATATTACATCCAGAAGTAGATTCTCATAAATACAGTGGTGAAAGGTTGATTTTGTTACTAAATAATGTCAAGTGGATTGGAAAACTGCATAGAAAATAATTTTCTCTTGATCCTTAATTGCAAGGATAAACATAATCAATCCATATTAATTTTAGATCTGAATATACAAATGCAATCTCTGAAGTTTTGAGAAGAATACATAAGAGAATATTTGTATGTCTTTAGAGAGAGGCACAAAGCTTTTTACAGGACACTGAGAGCACTCAAGTAAAAAATTGGAAACTGGTAAATTAGACTTCATTACATTTAAGAAATCATGTATCCAAATTATGAGAAAATATATTCACAGTAAAGATATTTAAGGAAGTATTATTATCAATAACATATAAAAGTTGCTATAAACATTAGTAAGTATATAGAGATTTATTATAAATCAATTTCAAAAAGATTATTCTAGTAGAAATAGACAAAAGAACAAGCATTTCACTGGAGACAATATATTACCTACTATCATTGTTAAAATTGTTTAAATTAAATACAAAATACTGGGAAAAACATTTAGCAGCCAGAAAAGTCAGAATACTGGTTGAAAGAGAATATCTGACAACCACCTTGAAAAAGTCTTTGCCAGCATCTCTTGAAGAGGAACATCTGAATACCCTATGATACAGAATTCCCATTTTTAGGTTTAAAGCCAGCGAAAATGCATAAATATGTTCACTTCATGACCATTAGTTAGCTGCTGTTACCAGCTCTGTTCATCATAGCCTCAAACTGAAAACTCACCAATTATCAGCATAATGGACATATTTAACATTTAACATATGTATAGAATGAAATGCTATATAACATTCATCATTAATGGAGTAATATCACTCCTAATAGTTCTGGGAATCAAAAAATATTTTATACTCTTTTTACCTAGAAAGTGTGTGTGTGTGTGTGTGTGTGTGTGTGTGTATACACACATATTTATATATATTCATACATACACATACTGTCTCATATATTGAACTCCTTTATTAGGGAATAAACTATTTAACTAAATTAAAAATAATATTGTTATTGACCATATCTTAGGCTATGTTAAAAATAATTCTATAAATTATAAAAATGAAAATTATATAAAACATTGGAGCAAAATGCAATAAAATTAGAAATTAAACACAGCTGAAAAAACAGCCCCCATTTACGTGGCAAAAAGAAAACATGCCATTATACTATGTTTCTGCCTGAGGGAGACACAAGTATATATAATTGCAAAACATATTGAAAATAGCATTAAAGATAATCCAACATACTAGAATCTGTGTAATCAATCTAGAAAAAACCCAGAGGAAAATTCATAAACTTTACTTCTCAAATAAAGAAGAAAAACAAGTGAATTAAATTTCAATCTAAAAAATCTGTGACAAGTACAGCACAGTGTATTAAAATATACTGATGAAATAAAGAATTATGAATACACAAAAATGTGGGAGTAATAATAAAAAGTAATATATATATGAAGTGCTGTCAAAAATTAATTGAAAAAGTTGGAAATGGACAGGCAATACTTTAGTGCTATTCTTTTAAAGTTGCCTCCTACCCTTTTCTTAATCCGTATCAATCACTAATATGTTCTCCATATCTCTAATTTTCTTATTTTGAAATTGTTGTATAAATGAAGCCACACAACTTTTTAAGATTGACTTTTGTTCACCCAGAATAATGTTCTTGAGATACATCCATGGTGTTGCATGTATTAATAGTTTGTTACTACGTATTTTTAGGTATTACTAAATTAGGTGGATATTGAATAGATATGCTACAGTTTAACAATTTATTGATTGAAGGATATTTGTGTTTTTAAGGGGAGAAAAAATAATATTTTCTAATTCAACTAAAGGTTTATGGCTGAGGTCTCTATTACAAAAGACAAATTAATGAGAGAAAAATATACAAATGTATTTAATACGTGTTATGTAACAAAGGTGCATTCAAAAATGAAGATTCAAAGAAAACCCCATGCATTTTTATGCTAGGTTTAATGAAAGGCAGACAGTCATGTAGAAGTACGGCTGTACAATGGGAATCTGATCTAATGGTTATTAACTAAGTTCTGGGAATTTTTTAAGGCCTGTATGTTCAGATTCTTCTTGACGTCTCTGTGTCTTCTAGGATATGGATGTTCCTTTTTCTCCAGGCATAAGGAAAGTGCCTCTGAAATAAAGATTTTATGACTTGCTTCAGGAGAGAAGAGCAGCAGGAAGGTGAAAGTGACCTTTCTGCATCTGTTGTTCCTCAAATGCCCCCGTACCATATTTTGGTGTAACATGTCCTGAACCCCATCACACTGTCTCCAGTTCTGGGATATTACAAATAAGGTTTGTAATGAACATTCATAAACAAATTTTATTTTTGAAGTGGAGTTTTGCTCTTGTTGCCCAGGCTGGAGTGCTATGGCATTATCTTGGCTCACTGCAGCTTCCGCCTCCCAGGTTTAGGCAATTCTCCTGAGAAATGAGAAGTAATAGGTTGGGCCCCTTGTGAATAAGATTAATGCCTCCTGAGTAGCTGGGATTACAGGTATGCATCACCACACCCAGCTAATTTAGTATTTTTAGTAGAGACCGGGTTTCACCATTTGGTCAGGCTGGTCTCAAATGCCTGACCTGAGGTGATGGGCCTCCCAAAGTGCTAGTACAGGCATGAACTTCCACGACCGGCCTCATGAGCAGATTTTTGTGTGGAAATAAGTTTTCATTTCTTTGAGATCAGTTATATATTTGTTCTGTTTCTTTTCCCAACTTAAAAAAAAATTCAGTTGGAATAACTTGAAAGACCTAATTGTCTTGAAATCCAATGATTATTTTCTCTGCTGCATTCAATTGGCTGATGACCCATTAAGGACAGTCTCATTCCTTACACATATGTGTATGTGTGTGTGTGTTTGTGTGTGAACATGCATGCATTTTCATTATCTCAGTTTTGTAGTTTCCATTTCTGTGTATTATAACATTCTATATATGGTCATGTATATTTGATACCTTTTCCACTAGATTCTTCATAATGCAAAGTTATTTATAAGTACTTTTTTCCTAGTAGTTCCAACATTTGGGTCCTTTATGTATCTTCTTCTGTTGATATCTATTGAATGTGGATGATTTATATTCATGGCATGTATGTGCATATAAATTTCTTTATTAGATTATAGACCTATTATATATATAAACAATAAAAATTGAGATAAATAATCTTTGTGCCAGTAATAGACATGCCTTTTCTTTTTTAGGTTGTTAAAGGTTATGTCGAAAGGACTCAGGTGTCATTGAAGAGGCTGCCACTGGGCAGTTATGATACAACTCAAACTCCAAAAGTGGTAACATGTAAGACTAATTTAAATCACCAAATATGCTTAAAGTCATAATTGAATAATAATAATTAGTCAATTTTAGGGAAATGATAGGGAAGTAAATCATTATCCTTAAAACAAGATATAAAGGGAAAAGATTTATCCTGTCCTTCCAAAGGAGTTATAGTACTGTGAAACCAAATAGTAGTTGCTATGGTCTGAGTATTTGTGTCTCCCCAAAATCCCTATTTTGAAATCCTCACTCCCATATTGGATGGTATCAGGAGATGCGGCCTTTGAGAAAAGAGAATAGGTTGGATCCCTTCTGAACAAGATTAATGCCCTTGGAAGAGGTCTTAGAGACACTCCTTCTCCCTTCACCATGTAACAACACAGAAACAAGACACTGTCTATGAGCCAGAAATTGCTCTGGCCAGACACTGATTCTGCCTTGGCTGTGGACATTCCAGCCTCCAGAAGTATGAGAAATAAATTTCCAGTTTGTTGTTATTTGTTATAGCGGTCCAAGTGGACTCAGGCAGTAGTGTAACCATGTTTTTACCTTTAATTTTACTATTGCTATTTTGCTACTCACTAGGCAGCAATTGATTTAGTCCTTTAAAGTCAACCACTGATAATACCACAAGACATGCTTCTTGATAAAACAAGACAATACCTATATTGTCTAGCCAAAGGAATTGAAAATGAGTCTGATGAAAACTCTGGGGCCAATTGGCAATTTGCAAAAGTATAGATGAGAGAAAACATCCTGAAATGAGTATGCAATCAGCAAATCCAGACTGCAGAAAACCCTTAAGGTCAAACACCACATGATTTTCAGCAAATAAGTTACAAGGAAACAAAAAGGACAGAAGGGAATCCATAAAATAAAAAAGACCTTAACAAAATTAAAATAAAGTTGGCAAGACTAAACTGTAATTTGGGAACCACACCTGGAGATTAAATTTATGAACGGAAATGACTAATATAAGAGTCAGGATACCGGCTAATCTTGAGGGAAAGGGTGGTTTTGAGACTAAATCCGAGACAATGAGGAGCCTCTGCTGTTTGTGGCTTAGTTATATTTCTTTGATTTTGTAGTTTTTATCTTATTAAATTTGTAGTAATTTATTAAGTTATATAACTGCTGTTTACAGTTTTCTTGCATCTGTATTCTATTTTACATTTAAAGAGCCTTTTTAAAAAGATGGAACAGATCATTTTAAATATTGTGTTAATAATTCAAAGGACACAGTGAAACTGTACTGAGATATGAATAGAAAATAAAGAGCACATTTTTCTTTTTCTTTTCTTTTTTTTTTTTTTTTTTTGAGACTGAGTCTCTCTCTGTCACCCAGGCTAGGGTGCAGGGCACAATCTCAGCTCACTGCAACATCTGCCTCCCAGGTTCAAGCAATTCTCCTGCCTCAGCCTCCCAAGTAGCTGGGATTACAGGCAGGTGCCACCATGCCCGGCTAATTTATGTATTTTTATAGAGACAGGGTTTCAACATGTTGTCTAGGATGATCTCAAACTCCTGTCATCAGGTGATCCTACCTGCTAAGCATCTCAAAGTGCTGGGATTACAGGTGTGAGCCACCTCTCCTGGCCTACGTATTTCTTTACGTGAGAAGAATCAAAGAATATTAATATATTCTTTCTTGTTAAAAGTTTCCAAAAAGTCATTTATTTGATGACTGAGTAGATCCCATTATCCAATTATTTTGAACAGTACATATTTTATTTTATTCATGAGTAATGGTCAATTTAAGAGTTTGGATTTCAACTAGACTGAATTGCATTTTATTTTACCATTCAATGAAGTAATAGATGAATTCAACAAACTACACATTTCACAGTTGCTTTGAGATAAATTGACCTTCACTGAATTAGTTTCTTTGCACAAGGTAACCAATATAAAAATTCCAATTTGCATGAAGATCTTTTAAAAGACAGCAGGAGTTCAGTACAAGCTACTGAGTGTTTTCTTGTTCTCTAACAGAAATTCACTCAAAATAATGAAAAATGATTTTTCATGCACCTTCCTTTATATTTGTGCCCAAAATTGCAGATTGTACACAAAGGGACTGTGCTAAGCTGAACATAGGCAAGAAATAGCAGTAATAATTACAAATGTTAGTGATGCATTAATATCTATATATTGTTATGTAGTCCCCCCCCTCTATATTTTATATTACATGTATATATAGAGAGCTAGAGAAATAAACTTCTATTTCTTGATTATATATTATATAATTTTATATAATATAGTATATTGTATATTACATGATATGTAATATTCTATTTCTTGATTATATATATATCAATATATAGATATTTTTTATATAAAAAAATTCACATACTGCTATTCCAAGAAAAATTATTTAAGCAATACCTCTTTTACTTCCTTAAGAAAAAGCAATACTGGATTAGAAATATTTTTTAAAACTTAAACACTCTACGAAAGTGATCTGTGAATGCACGGTCAGTACTTTTTGCTCTTGTTATATATGAGGAGGTGTAGAGAGTGCCAGTAAGTTTTAATATATTTATGGCATTGAACATAAAGGCCAATCATCTAAAAAGAAAAATGCATCAGCAGTTAGATACTGCATTCCAACACATCGATTTTCAGCCAAAGAGTTTTATTAATGAGACAAGGAGAGCAAATAATTTTCAGATGTAATATATTTGAAGATTAGATATCATCTGTATAATAAAAAGAAGCAAAGGTCAGTATATTCACATTTTACTTGTTTCGCTGTTGAGCACGTGTGTGTGTCAATTTATTTTTGTAAATATTATCTTTTTATTGCTATTACTTCTATGATCTACATTAACACGGTTAGTAAAAAATTCTTACTGTTGACGATGCCTTTACAGTTTTGTTTTTTTTTTTTTTTTTGGAGACGGAGTCTCACTCTCTCATCCAGGCTGTAGTGCAATGGTGCGATCTGTGCTCACTGCAACCTCTGCCTCCCAGATTCAAGCAATTCTCCTGCCTCAGCCCTCCGAGTAGCTGGGACTACAGGCACACATCACCGTTCCCAGCTAATTTTTTTATTTTTAGTAGAGATGGGGTTTCACCATGCTTTCTAGGTTGGTCTCGAACTGCTGACCTCCTGATCTGCCTCCTTGGCTTCCCAAAGTGTTGGGATTACAGGCGTGAGCCACCATGCTTGGCCCTTTACACTATTTACTTACCATAATTTTGCATTCTAAGTATAAAGAATTCATTGTAGTTTAATTTTTCCCCAATTGGGTGTTAGATTCTTGGTTTTCCTCTAGATGGCAGAATAGTATTCTAAATGTAAAAGATGTTCTTTGTGATAAACATTTTAAACGTTGTATTTACCAGCTTGGTTGAAAAATATTTTTCCCCTTTTCTGTAGTTAAGACAGAGTACATTCATGTGGTATATTTTGAAATTGGCATATACAATGAAATAAGGAGCAAGTAAGTACAGTATTTCTTAAATTAATTAAGTGATTGCATACATAAAAGTGTAGTAATATATGATATATTTACATTCACCAAATAACCTATAAACGGTCCAAGAGCCTTTAACATACTATATCTTACCTTCAAGAGTGTTGCTTGGCATTCTGTTTTGCAGCTTTTATTACTTGTAGCAGTGTCCTGGTGAAAGAACTCTAAGATTTTCCCATCAAACTTTCAGGACAAATTACATGTAAGAGCAGTTCTCAATCTAAAACGTAGTTTCTGCAACACTATTGTGATCTCTTCCAAATGTCCAGTATTCCCTTTCTCCACATGTTCTCAAGCATTAAAATGAAGCAGCTTACTAACTCTCGATTTCCTCTGCAAACACACAGGGTGATTGCAATTCTGAATTAAGAGACTTACAAACTGAGGAAGCCTTTCCCTCATTCCCCATTTCTAGCTTGATTGCCATAAGAATATTTGTATGGAATTTACAGCTTCCAAGCAACCATTTCTGGTATTTCAGTGATGGCGTCATACATGAATTTGATTTTTATGTGGAACATTTATATCTTCCCTGGTTTCCTATATAAAGCCAAAAATATAGAAGCATAAAGTATGACAGATGAACAATAGACTTAGTGAATGAGACAGTGATATTAAACTTAATAATAAGAAATAATGTCAGAGCTATTCTAGCATGAAAAATATGTGAGACCTAGAAAGAATAACATCAGCAAAACTTACTAACAAGGGAACTATTTTTAATATTTTCCTCCTTAGTAAAATATATCATTTCAGTTTTTCAGTACCTGGGATATGCAAATAATACAAGGCCAATAATTTTTAATTGGGAGAGAAATAAGCAAGTATTTCTAATTGGAATCAAGTTAACTGTTGGAAAGCAGGCATTCCAGAGACAAGTCTTTAAAATGCTGTACCTTTGGCCTGGTATTTGTACTTCCATATGTCAGAGGCAAGACATTATTCAACTCTTCTCAACATATTTAAATGAAAATATAATTGGATATAAATGCAAACTATTCTTCTTTTGTGGAAATATAAAGGAACATTGCAATTCTACTTTATTCTTATCTTCATTCCAATGTTCTTATTGCTTAAGAAAGACTGGGACTTATTAAATGCAAAATGAAGACATATTTTTCAAAAATACTATACAATGTGTTAATTTATCTAGTCAAATTATAAAAATAAAATTGTGTGGTAAAGACATAATTTCAAAAAAAAGATAAGAAGGTTTTTTATTTTATTATTCACATATCTAAGATTAAGCATTTTATTCTGATTATATAAGAAAAATTTTGTATTAGTCTGTTCCCATGCTGTTAATAATGACATACCAGAGACTGGGTAATTTATAAAGGGAAGAGGTTTAATGGACTCACAGTTCCACGTGGCTGGGGAAGATATATTTATTTTGTTTCCATTATGTAATTTTCAATTATGTATCCAAACTTACATGCAATATTATACAACCTGATTTTATGCCTCACAATCATGGTGAAGGGCAAAAGAGGAGCAAAGGCACATCTTACATGGCAGCAGGCAAGAAAACATGTTCAGGGGAACAGCCCATTATAAAATCATCAGATTCCAGGAGACTTATTCACTATCATGAGAACAGTGTGGGAAAGACCTGCCTCAATGATTCAAGTACATTCCACCAGGTCCCTCCCACAACACCTAGGGATTATGGGAGCTAAAATTAAAGATGAGATTTGGGTAGAAACACAGCAAAACCATATCAATTCTCTGTTCTCATAATTTTACATATATAAGCCTGAAAGTAATATATTTATTTTGTTTCCATTATGTATTTATTTTCAGTTATTTATCCAAATCACATGCAGTATTGTACAATTTATTTTTAGGCTATGCTTTTAAAACTTTATAAATATATATTAACTATATAATAAGAACTTTTATATATGTCATTACTTTAGTGCCCCAAGAATCTTGAAATGGGCCGGGCATGGTGGCTCAACCCCGTAATCCCATAACTTTGGGAGGCCGAGGCGGGTGGATCATGAGGTCAAGAGATCCAGACCATCCTGGTCAACATGGTGAAACCCCATCTCTACTAAAAATACAAAAAATTAGCTGGGCATAGTGGTGCGTGCCTGTAATCCCAGCTACTCAGGAGGCTGAGGCAGGAGAATTGCCTGAACCCAGGAGGCGGAGGTTGCTGTAAGCCGAGATCACGCCATTGCACTCCAGCCTGGGTAACAAGAGCAAAAACTCCGTCTCAAAAAAAAAAAAAAAGAATCTTGAAATGAATGTGTATTTATTTTAGTTTATAAAATATGAAAATTTTAACTCAAAAAAATTAAATAACCTGATCAAGACACCAAATAAATAACTGGAATTTGCCCTCTGTAGCTTCAGTCTTATGTTTTAATTTGCTTTCTATTATTTATAATATTTAATTAATGTAGTATTCTGATATTCAGTAGATCTCCTTCAGGCTCCAATATTTTTATTCATCAAACTATCTAAATGTGATTAAATTAGTATACTTTCCAATTCAAAAATGCCAAGTAATTTTATTATATTTGCTCTGTTTCTTAGGACTGCTTACTCTCTAATCACTTGTCTTATTAGTTGGTCATTGACTGTGAAAAAAGAAAGTCTTCCAGTTTTATGAGATAGAACTTAAATGGTCCTTTGGAGATTGTGAACTTCACATCCTTAGAGGAAATGTCAGGAAAATTGAAATCCTCATGCTTTGTGAGTAGCATGACCTTTCCGTTAGCTTTTCTAACTGGTTAAATTGTTCCTAATCTGTATTCTAACTCTACTTACAATGACATTTATGGCTGCCCTCTGAAATCTTCACATTTCACTTAACTTTATCATATTAGAAATGCAGGTAAACTCTTATGCCTTACATATATTTACTTGCTAGATATGTTCTCCATATAGGCCTAAAAGAAAAGCAGTACTCTTCCTGACCTGTGATTTTTATAACGTCTATGTTGCCAGTGATTCTTATTCAGCTTTCAATCAATAAATTGTCTCAAAAGTTATTTTAATTATCATTCATTTAAGCAGAGGAAGATTTTACTCTTTTTAAATAGTTTAAGCTTCAGCGAAACTGACTCTTATTTTTTAAAATTCAGTTTTCATACTGGTGAAGCAAACAAACTAAATTATTTTGTTCTTAAAAAATTTCTTATCCTTAAAATTCAATGTACTCTATGATTCAATTATTTTTACTTATAGTTAAGCTACACAAATATTCAGTAAAATCCCCTTTGAAGATCTATCGATCTATCATCTTTTTTCACTGAAAGTTTAAATGCTGTTTAATTCATATGCTAACACACACATTAATATTCAGTTACATTTAAGTTGATTACCTTCTTAGTGTACAAATAGCTTCAATATTCTTATTGTATTTATAAAGAATAGTTCATCTATACTTAGAGGCAATATAATTCTTTATTTCTAGTCTTTGTTAGTAATTGATTTTAAAGATTCAAAATAAATATAGACTAGTTGTTATCCTAAAAAAAAAATGCTTTTTTACCCTAATCCTTATAAGAAAATAATGCTTTCAGAAGCATGCATGGTTATTTCTTTGCTCTCCTTTTATACAGAGAGTTGAAATTGATTTTCATTTTCTCTCTTACGTGACA